CGTTGCCATCAAACAAGCCCGAGCCAATTCATTCGATTCCCGATTGCTAAAACGACGCAAAGGAGCCGCCAAAAGAGACGCCCCGCCGAGGCGTCCAGCGCGACTATTTCCGTCGATTTGGACCGCCCAAAAAGGGGCGCCGGAAAATGCCAAGACGAAAAAAGCGGAAGCCGCATGGTACGGGCCCCATTTCGGTCCACTTTTGGAGGTTGCAAAGCCCGCTCGCCAAAAGCTAAACACTGTTGACCCACATGCTATTGGCCAGATTTTGGGGGCCCATGGGGCCGGGCTTGGTGGAGGCCCAGGCGGGGGCATAGCATGCGGGAAAGTGTTTCGATTCAGGAGGCGGCAGGGGCGCGGCTTTTCAACAAAAAAAATCAAAGGACGCAAATCCCGCCAGAAGCAGTAGGCCAGGCCGCATGTTATGGCTGGGCCCGAAACGGTGGCAAGACCCGTAACGGGTCCAAATTGCGAGATGGGGCCAGGCGCGTAGTCCCCCGCGGATTAGGGTCCGGCGGCAAGCAGTTCTTCCGGATGAAAGGGAAGCCTTTTTTCTTTGTTTTTGAAGATGAATTTTGAAGATGAATTCCTATAAAACAACTCAAACCACAACAGAGAATGAATGCGAATGAATGCTGTAGCTAGGTAGATTGCAATATTGTGCCTGTGCTAGCTAACGACGGCGAAGCTAGGTAGATATAGACTTCGGATCTCGGCTAAGTAGCTACGTAATTAGCGAGTCCAGTGTCCGCTTAGCGAGCCCAATGTCCGCCCGTTTCATCGGATTTCCCGACCTTGGCTTTTTTTTTGCGCTGACCTTGACTTTTCAAAATTGGGGCACCTTGACTAACCCGGTAGTACATGCAATATTCCGGTAGCGGTAGTACACCTACGTTCCATATAGTACTGTTTGGCATTCATCCGAAATTTGTCATGCTCACATTGCTACAATCAAGGCATCTGCAAATGGGCGTGCGGTTTTGAATGACAACTGAAGGGGGAGGGGGGGCTATGTGCACTCTCATAGACGTAGACAAACATGTAAAAGACCGCCATCTCGGTGTAGGCGGCAAAGCGGTGCAGGATTGCCGGGGAGTGGTCGGAATGGACCTTTGGTTGGAGTTGTCGTATATTGCATTCCAATTTTTTGCCCAACGGTTGTCAGTTACACATCAGAGGGCGGAAGTTGTGCATGTCAACATCAATCTGTTGCTGTTCTGTGCATGATAGATGACTTGCAAAACAAACTTAACTTCATTTTTCTGCAGATTAAACGTACCTCGCACATGTAGTGCAGTGTCTTGCATCCGCCCATGGCCCGAAGAAAAACCACCCTTTCGTCGCATAACTCCCCGCAAATCTGGACGGTGCCGTTGGTTTTGTTCTTTTTTCCGTCTTTTTCATCTGACAATAATCAAATGTAAAAATGTCTGGGTCTGGAAGAATGGAAGGCTTGTCATGCTTGTCTAGCATGACCCATGATGCTTGTAATGCATGACCCAGCATCACAGATTTTTGGAAAGCTTCCTGATGCCATTTCCGCATGACAAATGCCCTCCTCGCGTAGCACAAATGTG